TCTATCTATCTATCTATCTATCTATCTATCTATCTATCTATCTATCTTTCTACCCAAGTAGCTGGAGTGGGTGGGGGGTTATAGCAACACTAGTTAAAACACAGATCCATGAAGCATTGAAGAAAGGTGTATCAGGGGCAGCTAGGTGGTGCAGTGGATAGAACACCGGCCCTGAAGCGAGCAGGACCTGAGTTCAAATGTGGCCTCAGACCAAACACTTAACACTTACTAACTGTGTGACCCCATGGGCAAGTCACTTAACCCCAATTGCCTAAAAAAAAAAAAGAAAGGAGTATCAATATATTGGTATTATCAATAATAATTGCCAAGGCTAGAACTGGAAATCAAAAGGATGTCCATCAATCGAGGAATGGCAGAAGAAGCTATGGTATATGATTGTAATGGAATAGTATTGTGCTGTTAAAAATGACAAGCAGGATGGTTTCAGAAAAACCTGGAAAAACTTACATGAACTGATACAAAGTGAAGTGAGCAGAACCAGGAGAATGCTGCACAAAGTAACAGCAATATTGTTCGATGAAGAACTGTGAATGACAGCTATTCTCAGCCATATAAGGATCCAAGACAATCTCAAAGGATCCGTCTCTAGACAAAGAACTGATATTAGTTGAATCCAGAAGGAAGCATGCTATTTTTCACTTTCTGTCTTTCATTCTTTTTCTTCTATTCAAGTCTTCTGGTACAAAATGACCAATATTGAAAAGTTTTACATGATTGCACATGACTGCTTCTCTCTCTGGGAGGGGGGGAAGGAGGGAGAAGAGAGAATTTGGAACTCACAACTTTAAAAAAATGTTAAAAATTGTCTTAACATGTAATTGAAGGGGGAATAAAATATATATTAAAAATAAGCTACTGAAAAATCTTTATTATTGATAATGATTGAATACCCAAGGGTTAGAAGAAACATTGGCTCTGCCACTGGGTAATATAGGGCAAGTCACTTCCCATCCTCAGTTTCCTCATCTGTAAAATGAAGAAGTTAGATGAGAGATGGTCTCTAAAGCCCCTTCTAGCACTAAATCCCCTGACCCTACAGGAATGAGGTTTCCAGTCTTCTAACAGAAGAAGCAAACCAGCCTCCTGCTGCCTGGGAAGCTGTTTCTCTCTCTCTCTCTCTCTCTCTCATAAAATCATAGATCTAGGGACTTCACAAGTGGTCTAATACAATTTTCTCATTTTAAAGATGAAGCGAATGAGGCCCAGAGAAGTTAAATGATTTACTCAAGGTTACACAGTCAGTCAGCAGGTATATATAAATATATGTGTGTGTGTATATGTATGTGTGTGTGTATATATGTATGTATATATATGTATATGTGTGTATATATACATATATACATATACATACATATATACATATATATATGTGTGTATATGTACATATGTATATATAGCACTTACTACGTGCCAGGTATGCTACTAAGTACTTGTGGGACACAGGTTAACTAAGAGACTCAGGATTTGAATTCAGATGCTGGGACTCCAAGTTCAGTACTCTTTTTACTCCTTCCACTTCCTTTCCTTCAGTTTTGGAGGTGGGTAAAGGGGCTGTCTCTGTTGCCTTCTGGCTTTCATTGGATTATTGTTGTTCAGTCCTTTCAGTCATGTCTGACTCTTCATGAGCCCATTTGTGGTTTTCTTGGCAAAGATACTGGAGTGGTTTGCCATTTCCTTCACCAACTCATTTTACAGCACAGGGTTAAGTGACTTGCCCAGGGTCACACAGCTAGTAGCTGACTGAGGTTGGATTTGAACTCAGATCTTCCTTATTTCAGACCAGTGCTCTATCCATTGCGCCATTTAGCTGCCCCGATGCCCTCTGGGTGTGTGTGTGTGGGGGTCCCTTTTATGATCAGTGCCATTGTTAGACACTGTGTGTGTCTAGACATGAGAATACATGAGATGGGTAGGCAACTTCCATATTTAAAGAAATACACGTCAAGAATTCATTTATTTCCAAACAACCAATTAAGGAAATGATGAACAACCAGGTCATGAACTAGGGAGAGGGCTTGCTATATTGTGGATTTAAATATTACTTGGAACTTTACCCCAGAGATGAGATGGAGAGTCAATTAGCTGCCTCTCTGGTCTGGCTGGGCCTTCTCCCAGGAGGAAGAGATAAAGCCTGGAGAAAAAAAGGACAGATCAATCAGTCTTAGTGAAAGTTAAACTGAGGAAGTGAAAATATTTTATGGGTCATACAGAAATATAATAATATAATGGATTCTGAGTTCCCCCTTCTCATACTTCTCATGGCATTTTGTCTGGATGTCTCCTCTGCATTTATCACATTCTGACTTGGATTATGGCTATGGATGAAAGGGGCCCCCTTCTCCCTATTACACTGTAAACTCAATGAGGGCAAAGACTGTCTTTTTTCACCTTTGCATCTCCAAGGCCTAGGATGGTGAGTGGTCTGCACTTCACTTTTTTCAGGAGTCATAATTGCACCAGTGAAAGCCCTCCTTCCAATTACCCAAACTATGATCTCCTTATTCCTTACGGCAGCCAGTCAAACTCAAATAGAAACCAGAGCCACTAATCCATACACAAGGATCCTTTCAGGCTGTATCTTGATTTAGAAAAATACAAATTAACATTATCTATGTTCCATTGTGTTTTTATTTTTAATTTGATATTTCCCAATTACAGTTTAATTTGGCACTGGAAGGCTGCCATACTTGACACCTCTGCTTTGGAGGACAGTATTAGTGAGTTGCTGTGGCCAAAAAATATATATTATTCTGCAGCTAACCCAATGATGACCCTCTCTGAATTTATCCAGGTTGGTCCTGAGACAAATGGGCATATCGTACATTGTTGTTTGTCCTTCATTTTGGAAGAGGACCAATGACATCATGGAGCGATGTCTTGACTCATGTGTGAATTGGATTTAAGTGAGACAGAGCTGCACAAAGTCATCAGCCTCACTCTCTCTTCCAGGGTCATCGAAGTTCAGTGGCAAGACAAAAGTCAAGATGACTGGTAATGGCCCAGGATGCAGTGGATGACTTTGGCATTTTGGATGTCTGACCAAGCTCTAAGTACTCCACAGCGGCCTTCATGGCCTTTGAAACAAATTGTTCTCATCTGCCCATTCTACCAGGAGAAGTCTTCACATGCTTGGGGTAGACATCCCCTTAACTCACTGAAGGGTCAGTTACAATTCCCATGGCGGGAGACTTTGCAGCTTGTCAGGACCTTTCAAAGTTTTCCTTCCATTGGCATAGCCCCCCAAAACTCAGGGTTACTTCCATACCATAATAGAGCATCAGAGAACATGAGTTGAGGTCCCCTAAACATGCTCATTGCTTAGTTAGCCTGCTTAAATTTCAAGAGGTCCATGAGCTTGGAGAGATAAAAACAATATATCTTTATATCAATATAATTGGTTTCTTTTGTAATCCTATTTTTAAAAAATTTTAGACATTTTAAAGCAGTATTCTAAATTCACCAGACTGCCAAAGGGATGACATACAAAAGGTTAAGAACCTGTTGTCTCCACCCTCTCTTGGTGACCCCACTAACTCACATTGATTTAATTATCATCTCTATGCAGATAACTTTCAGATCCATAGATCTAACCCTAGCCTCTCTCCTGAACTGTTATCCTACATCACCCCTTCACTGTTAGATGTTTGAATTGAAGGCCTGTCAAACTCAATAGTCCAAAATATTCATTATTATGCACCTCCCAAGTCTACCACTCTCCAAAAACTACCCTGTCTCTATCTGGGACATCACCAACCTTCCAGTTAACTCGGCTCAATGCTTCAATGTCATTCTCTCTTCCTCATTTTCACTCCATCCACATAAAAATCAACTGCTAAATTTTGTTCTTTCTATCTCTACACCATGTTGAGTTTTTCCCCTTGTCTCCATTCCCATAACCTCCACTGTCATCCAGGGCCTGATCACCTCTTTCCTAGATTATTGTAAATGCCCCTCAAGTCTCTTTCCACTTGGATCCATCTTCCACACAACTGTCAAAATGTTTAAATTACATATTTAAATTTAATTTATATCTTTATATACATAAATATTTAATAATATAATTTATATATTTATATATAATTTGTATATTTAAATTTTATTTATATGAATATTTAATATATAATTTATATATTTAAATTTAATTTATATATAAATATCTAATATCTAATGTATATATTTATACATAATTTATATATTTAAATTTAATTTATATATTTACATTGTATATTTAAAAGGAATAGCAGGTTGCACATAATAGATATGCAGTTTCATGTGCAATCATCTTTTTATTATACTATGTTATGGAAATGCTTGTTTTATTCCATAAATTAAAAATAAAATGAATAAAAATTAAAAACATAAAACAGTAAAATTATTTTTCTAACACTCAAATCTGATGATGTCATTCCTCTACTCAATGAACTCTAGTGGCCCCCTATTTCCTTCCAAATAAAATATAAATTTCTCTGATAATTAAAGCCCTTTACACCCTGACTCCAACTTATCTAGTGAGACTTATGAGACATTAATCCCTTTCACACACTCTACACTCCAGTCAAACTGGTCTTCCAGTTGCTAATATATAGCACCCCATCTTTGATTTCCTCTGAATCTGCATGCCTGAAATGTACTCCCTCCTTACCTTTGCCTCTTACAATCCCTAATTTCCTTCAAGGCTCAGGCCAAGCTTTGTCTCTTCCCTTCTGCCCCCCCTTCCCCAAATTACCTTGTATTTATTTTAATTTTTTTTTTTTTGTATATGCCCTTGTACATACACGCTGTCTCCCCCTGCTATATTGGGGACAAGGACTATCTCATCTATTGTATCCCCAGGCCTGAACACTGCTCCTAGTACACAGTAGGCATTTAATAAATGTTTGTAGATTGATTGCTAAATAAGCTCCTGGTGAACAGGGATTGTTTGATTCTTTATACTCATACTGAGAGAAATGATTATTTCTCTCTCATATTAATGACCAACTATTAAATGAGGACTAAGGTTTTTTTCTTTTCTATCTCCTCATTCAGGAATCAGCCCTTTGGTGGATTATTCAGCCAACATCTGAAGGACATTGCCGATAATGAAATTGGATTAACTTTCTCCTCCACCTAGTTCAGACCCCACCAAAGTGGGGAAGATTAGTTCTGATTAAAGAGTAAAAAGAATTTAATCCAGGCAAATTCCTGCCCATTGTGTTGTTTTCAGGCTTGGGTGGCAGGCAGATCTTTTGTCTAGTTTGTCCAGGGCTGGGGTTGGTCTGGGAGTAAGAGAGACATAATCAAAGTCAGGGCCCCCAGACCCTCATTAGAATAGGTCCACCTCTCATTATAATATTCATTCTCTCATTAGTTATTAACCAATCAGAGTTGATTACTGTCGGGAACACCCACTCTTCCAAGGGCAAACCTCAATCCTTCTTCAGTTTAGGAGAGACGGATGAATGACCATCCTTTCATTAATTATTTGCTAGCTATAATTAATAAAATTATTAATTATCCAGAAATTATGTCGCTCAGACTTTTCATCCATCACAATACTTCCAGGTTCTAACACAGTGCCTAGCATATAGTAAGCACTTAATAAATGTTAGTGGTTTGACTGATGCAAAGACAGGCCAGGGATGTTGTAGCAAGAGGGCAACAGCCTTGGTGTAATGGAAAGAGACTCAGACTTGGCATCAGAAAACTTGGGTTCACGTCCCCACTCTGACACGTCTTAGCTGGGTGAAAATGGATAGGCCATTTCATTTGTCCATGCCTCAGTTTCTTCATATGTAAAGTGAGGATAATTGTTATGGTATTGCCAAACTTACAGGGTTGTTGTAAGGAAAGTCTCTAAAACCTTAAAGCATTAGAAAGAAGAGTCCACGGGGATCCAATCCTGAAATTGCCTCAGAGTCGAGAAAGACTAAATAAGGTGTTTGGAGTGTTCCTGAGGAAGCAATGCTAGGGACTCCAGCATGAGCTTCCCAGCTAGGACTGTCCTCCCTGTGCTAAGCTTTGGGAGAGCATGTGCTCTCAGCTGAGGCAGGAATCGTAAGTAATAATAACAGCTGGCATTTATATTACACTTAAGGTTTGAAAATGTTTTACAAAGGTTATCTCATTCAAACCTAATAACCCCAGGAGGAAAGCACTGTTATCATCTCCACATCATAGATGAGGACACTGAGGCAGATGGAGGTCAAGTGACTTGTCCAGGGTCACACAGTTAGTTAAGTACCGGAGACTAGATTTGAATTCAGATCTTCCTCATTCCAGGTCCAGCTCTCTAGCCACTGTGCCACCTAACTGCCCAATAGTTAAGTAGAAAGAGCTCCAGACTGGCAGTGACAGGTCTCGAGATCTGTCTATGGCCCTGTTATTAAACTGCTATGAGACTTGGGGCCAATTATCTTTCCTTTCTGTGCTTTAGTTCCTTCATCTGTAAAATCTGGGATTTCTTTAAGCCCTATGCTCTAGTATTCTATATACTAAGGTCCCTTCAAGCTTTGATGTTCTAGGTCCTAGGATTCTTTCTAGCTGGCTATATGTACCACCCCATGTTTTAAGGGCTCTTCATGTACTGACAATCTATATCCTAAGATCCCTTCAAACTCTGATGTTCTAGGTCTTAATGTCCCTTCTGTTTATAAGCAGCATTTTATGTTCTAAGGTCTCTTTCATCTCTGATATTCTAGCTACTAAAATCCCTTCTAACTGTATGTACCATCCTATGATTTAAGGTTCCTTCAAGTGCTAACATTCTATATCCTAAGGTCCTTTCAAGCTCTGATGTTCTAGGTCTTAATGTCCCTTCTGTTTTGAAGTAGCATTTTATGTTCTAAGGTCTCTTCCATCTCTGATGTTCTAGCTATTAAAATTCCTTCTAGCTATATGTACCATCCTATGTTCTAAAGTTCCTTCAAGTGCTAACATTCTATATCCTAAGGTCCTTTCAAGCTCTCATGTTCTAGGTCTGCCTTCTGTTTATAAGTAGCATTTTATGTCCTAAGGTCTCTTCCATCTCTGATGTTCTAGCTTCTAAAATCACTTCTAGCTATATGTACCATTCTATGTTTTAAGGTCCCTTCAAGTGCTAACATTCTACATCCTAAGGTCCTTTCAAGCTCTGATGTTCTAGGTCTTAATATCTCTTCTGTCTGTAAGTAGCATCCTATGTTCTAAGGTCTCCTTCAGCTCTGGCATCCCATGGTTGTATGATTTAGCATCAGTAAGCAGGTTTTGGAGGCAGCTAGATGGCTCAGTAGATAGAGAACTTCCTGGAGTCAGGAAGACCTGAGTCCAAATCTGGCTTCAGATACTCACTAGCTGCGTGACCTGGGGCGAGTCACCCAGCCCTGTTTGTCTTCATCCACTAGAGAAGGAAATGGCAAAGCGCACCAGTATCTTTGCCAAGAAAACCCCCTGGACAGTATTGGCATGCTATGGGGTCACAGACAGTCGGACACAACTGAACAACAAGAAGCCGGTTTTAGAAGATGGAGTAGCTGAGCTGAATCCGTGCTGTGCTCATAGTTCTGATCCTCATTCTTTTGTCTCTTTATAGAAATTACCAAGAGTCCTTGGGCATATTTCTAGAATCCTCACCCTGACTCCCCAAGGACAGTGCAAATCCAATTTATCAAATTTTTCTAACAACTCCTGCCTTGTTAAATAGGCTGCCAGCCTTTGGGCTGGTTCTGATCTGAATTTTCTGATCTCCAAAGTCGAGCAGGACTTTGAAGAACGGCGGGCATTCTTTTGTATTCTTCTCACGGTTCCCGCTTGCCCATGGCGGAAGGGCATCTAAGTGGGCTGCGGGCTGGGCACATGACTCACTCCATCCTCCCTTCCTTTTTCAGCCCAACTCAATCTAGCTGGTCGTGAAGAGCTTTGCCCAGGTCTTCTGAACACGGAGGCTGGGCGTGCTCATTAGGACTCAGTGATCTTCCTTCCAATTGAATAATGGACCCAGCCCGGCACCTCCTTTAACCAGTCCTCATCCTACTGATGATTAGGCTCTCAGCTTTCTGATTCACAAGGATCACATTGGGAACCCTGAGGGCTGTCATAATAACAATAAAAATAACAGTAGTTAACTTGTACGTAGTGCTTGGGGCAATCAAGTAGAGCATGGGGTCTGGGGTCAGGAAGATCTGAGTTCAAATCCAGCCTCAGACACTTATTAGCTGTGTGACCCTGGACAAGTCACTTAACTCCTATTTGTCTCAGTTCTTCATCTGTAAAATGGGGACACACTGGAGAAGAAAATGGCAAACTACTCCAGTATCATTGCCAAGAAAACCCCACAAGTAAGTCCACGGGCTCATGAAGAGTTGGACACAACTGAACAACTAAACAACAACACAGTGCCTATATGTGCCAGGCACTGTGCTCAGTGCTTTACAATTATCTCATTTGATCTTCACAACAACCCTGAGAGCTAGGTGCTATTATTATCCCCATTTTACAGATGCAGAAACTGAGACAACAGAGATTAAGTGACTTGTCCAGGGTCAGGCAGATAGTGTCCAAACTGGATTTGAATTTGAACTCAGATCTTCCTGAATCCAAAGCGGATAGAGTGCTGGACCTGGAGTCAGGAAGATTCTCCCTAAGTTCAAATCCATCCTCAGAAACTTACTAGCTGGGCAAGTCACTTTACCCTTTTCCCTCAGTTTCCTCATCTGTCAAATGAGCTGGAAAAGCAAATGACGAATCACTCCTGTATATTTGCCGAGAGAACCCAAATGGGGTCACGAAGAGTTAGATGCAACTGGGAGGTAGGGAGGACAGACACCATCTCCTGAGGATAGGGAGGAATGTGTACCATCTCCTGGGAGGTGGGGAGGACGGGCACTGTCTCCTGGGAGGTAGGGGTGATGGGTACCATCTCTTCTCTCCCTCATTGTGCAGTTGAGGGAACAGTCTCTGAAAGGGTTAAATGACTGGCCATCATTCTGGAGTCAGACTCTGAGCTCTGGTTTTCTGACTTTGCACGCAGTTCTCTAAACAAACAAACAAAACCCTTTTATTTTCCTGCTACTTTTCGGCCAATCCTTGGTCCAAAGTCGATTTTAATCTGCTTTGGGGGCCTGTGCCCATAGGGCAGCTCTGTTGACAAATTAAAGCCTCTGCAGCCCTGCCCTTTGCCTTCTTCGTTCCAAAGCTGGGAGGGGGGGCACTCAGTTACAATCCTGGGGGGCAGCCTTCCCCTCTTGCTTTCTATTGAGGGGACATGGGAACGGCATCTGTCTGCCAGCCACTCTTTATCAACCTGGGCCCTGAAACCACTTCGGTCAGGCATTTGATGTTTGCAGCCTTTTAACCCCATTGGGCGCTTTGAAGGAGCCAGAGGAGCTGGCAGTGGGCCGTCTGCTCGGGCTGTCCATTCTTTCACAGATGAAGAGAGGAGCAGAGGGGACAACCCGAGGGAGGGCCTCGGTAACTGAGGACCCTGGGAATCTGGAGTCCCAGACACCAGGCGTGGTGCAAAGGCTTTGGGGGAGGGGAGCATAAAGACAACTATCACAGGACCTCAGAGAACACCTGGGCCAACATCCTCATTTAAAACGTAAGAAAGCTAAGGCCTAAATCAGTCAAACAACTTGCCAAAGGACAAATAGACAAAAGAAATACCTGGGTTAGGGTTTGACCACAGGTCCAAATTATACGCTATTTCCATCGTTTTACATGGGATAGAAGGCTGCGAAGGATTTTAGAGCTGGAGTGAGTCAATCCCCCCACTATACAGAGGAGAAAACTGAGGTTTTCTCATAATCACTCTGGCAATGAGCCCATGTTCTCCTTTTTCCAAATCCAGTACCCTGACCGCTACACCACACTGCTCATGGCAGACTGTCAGCTGCAACCAGGCAAACTCCAGGCAAAACGGTGGAGAGGGTGGGGCAGTCTTTGGGAATGCCCTTCCTTTTATCTCTTCATGTGCCTCCACTCACTCTGCCCCCCCACCTCCCACTGCAGCAGCCCCATCTCTGCCCTGGTATCCGCATGCATTCACACAGACTCTTTGCCCAAGCCCTCTTTGTCCTTACTTCTACTCCCTCAGGATCTTTGCCAGCTAGCATTTTAATCATCTTTCCCCTAAACTCCTTTTTAAATTAAATTTTACTTTTCAAAATTAACATGCCTTCATTTTCCCTCTTTCCCACTTCCTCCTATCCCAGGGAGAAAAAGAA